CTTTTAGAAAGGACAAATTAAAGATCCCCCTTGTATTTACAGATATAATAAAAGGAGAGTAGGTAAAATGCACTGAATACGCTGCTAAAAGGTAGTCGGTAAAAGTTAGAAGCAGTATTTTCATTGACATCCCAACTTCCTGTGTTTGCCCTCAATATGAAAAACAAACCTATACTTTTTACAGACTTAAATACAACCCCACTTTTATACGGAGGATAAGAAGGGTATTACACGCATATCTGCTTTTGATATAAGGATGGTAATAGGATATTGATGTTCATATTTCAAACTGCTCTCAAAAATTCCTCGAAGACCGTAGAGTACAATTATAAATATAGTACAACTGCAAAAAGTCAGGTTTTCACAAAAGGTGGTTTATGAAACCAGATTTTTAGTGTTAGAAATAAAGTAGGGGTAAAGGGCTATTCATCTAAATAACTCAGGGGGCCACAGTTACTAAAAGTCAACAGCTCAGAGACCGGGATATCCAGCAAAATAAAATGAGATAAATGCAGTCTACTTTAATTTGCTTCTGATTTCAAATCAAATTTAAAGTAATTATTATTTTTTAATTATCTATAGTTTTGTATATTTAAAATAGCATTTTATGTTGAATGAAGTCATTGGCATATTATATTTTTATTTGTCCTTCAAGTCTAAAAAAAAAGTACAACATGATGAAATTAGTGGGCCGGACTGAAGGCACCCAAAATATGTGGCCCGCAGGCCGCCAGTTAAATAGCCCTGTCATATAATGTAAAGTTCCATAAATGCTAAGTAAATGTACTTGCTTTTCATTTTACCCTAGCTAAATCTTAATGTAAAAAAAAAGAATTGTTCTTATTTTAACAACTTTTTTCTTATCCAAACCACAATCTCAGATGTTTGGAGCTGTCAAAAGCTGTTTTTTTTTCTTCAAAAGTTAATTCAGAATAAATGTTCCACACAGCACAGAATATATTTAGTTCATGTGCCTAGAGCTAAACATTTTTAAAGGTTTGCCCATAAGGGCAAATGTTGGCAGCATCTCACCCATCTCAAAATGAACCTTTATCCTGGTTTCAGCAACAACAATAATAAAGTGGTTAGCATGTGAAACAAGTGTAACTTCCTACAGTGGCTAGCTATGATACTGAAGCCAGTTTGTACAAAAACAGTAACAAGACATTTAGCTTCAGCTACTGGCTCTTTCAGTTTTGTTCTTCTCTGTAACAATGCTACAGATAACAATGTATTAGTTCATTTCTCCTCTCATAAAGAAACATGTTCTTTGTACCATTTTACTGTTGAGTAAAGCTGTAATGTTCTTTGTCTGCTACAAACGGAAGTGATGGCATCAACACTTTCTGCAAGTTTTGTGTCAGTTTTGTTGCTTCAAAGGTTCTGGGAAATCATTTCTGGAATCGAGGGGAAATCAACATCCTTTTTAGTTCAATCTGTGGAAAAGAAAGACTGTCTGACTGCAGACTGGCTGAATCTTCTTTCCCTGAGTGTAACTTTTAAATTCCAAATGCATATTATGGGAAAACGTCAGTTTTCACCCCATCTTCTTAACATAAACTCTCTGCTGTATAACTCCATTTTTTGTGGAAAGCAAGTTAAACTTTATTTATTTTACACAGATCCCTTTTGAGCTTATGTTGAACACTGAAGCATGTTCAAGTAATGTCATAAAAAGTGATAAAATTTGGGGTAAATATTGGCATAAACCCTGCTGCAGTCATATTTAAGGCTGTACTGGGGCAACGTTCTTCCTCAATATTTTTCTTTGCCTGCATTATTCAGTTTGACAGATCTATGGCCTGAATAAAAAGGGTACTATTTTTTCCTGTATTATTGTCTAAAAAGCAACCTAATCTTTTTTTCCTCTCTGAAAAGTACAAAAAAGCATTATACGTGCCTTTGTGGCAAATTCTGAGTATTAGCAATGTCTAGGCGGAAGTTGTGTTTTTTTCTTTTCATAAAACAAGTCTAGACTAAATAATGCACATCATGTGTTGTTCAGAACATCTGTTTTGAATTGAATATTCCTCCCTGACCCACATGAAAATGCAGCACACAGAATAATTTATCTAGATGTGAAATGGTAATGACATGTCATATTCAACATTTTTGAGATAAAAGAAATAAAATTCAACATTCCTTTTTAAGGTTTTATGTTTTCCTTTTTTTGGTTTTGAACACAGCAAATACGATGAGCTAAAAACAAAAAGGTCTGAAGCACTACACATGAAATACAAAATCTACACATTTCGAATTCTTTTATTCTATTCTCTCTGACCACAATCACTAAAGTTGAGGAAAGTCCTGTCTGTGAACTCGTGTCAAACTGAAAACAGATTGTGCTGCTGCTCTTACCAAGGTGGAGGGTGAGGTTGACAGAATTGGGGTACTGGATGCCATAGAACATGGACTGACTCTGCCACCACGTGGGCTCCTCATTTCTGTGAAAGTCTGTCAGGAAGCTGGCATTGTGGCTGAGCTCTGGATCTGATGCATTACAGTAGTGACATGAGCGCGTCGAGCCAGTCTGCATGCAGTAGTCTTCAGGCGGGGAGCCACACACATTTGACACCTCCACGGTGCGATTGAAGGCAATATTCTCAAACTTGGGCATACAGCGACTGGGAACTCCCTCCTCATCATAGCAGGAGTCCATTGCAGCCCAAACAAGACAGTGGAGTTGCAGTTGAAGACAGAACAAAACGGGTAGGAGAGAAGAACTCGCAGCAAAGAATATATCCATGTCTACAATCGTGTTTACTCGTAATAAAATCGTAAAGACCCAAACTTTAAAAGCTAATAATTCTACATCACAAAATAAGCCCTGTCTTAAAGCTTCTTTAGTCTAGTCTCTCTGCCTCTGCCCGGTCTTCAACATGTGTTCTCCCTCTGTGTGTGGAATGAAGTATATGCAAGAACCCCTCACTTCAAGAGCAGCCCAAGACAGAACAGAGACAGGGTGGGGGCTGGAGGATTGAGGGGCCCCATTAAACCTCTCCACCTGCTGGTCGAGCTAAATATTGCACCACAAGTACCAGTAAGTTGCTCCTCAGCTTTAGTGTCATGTGTACCAGAGACAACGCCACACAGTACAATGAAATACCTAATCCACACAGAGAAACCTGGTCATAAACAGCATAAGACATAACCATAGCTGGAGAGTCAGAGGGTGGGCAGGTGGGGCATCACTTTGTCTACTCAGAGGTTTTTAAAAATATTAATTTGTTTTTAAATAAAATTACTAATACGGGTCCATTTGAATAATTAACACTGATTATATATTTTCTTCACTTTTTTTCACCTTTTCCAAATAAAAGTTTGGAACCATTCAATTTTTCATAAAGAGATAAAGGTTGAACAAGTCTTTGGGAGAGGTGGGGAGCATTGATGGATTGGGGGGCTCAACTTGGCTTGGAAGTAAGAAAGAGGGGCTTTGAGAAGAATAGGGTGGAAACCACTGAGGTAAAACATTTACAAAGGCATGCCTCATCATGACTTGTGTCAATAAATTAAGACATAGATAAGCCAGCAAATAAAGTGAACAATGTGAACATAAAAAGGCCTGGAAAATAAAACAAATACTGAAAAATGATACAAAATCCCACTGAAAGACACTGGAATGGCTAACCACAGCAGTCTTCTTTGTGTCAATGGTTAATGGACTGTACGTACAGCACCTTTCTGTCCAACCAAGATACTCAAAGTGCTTCACACCACAATCTGTACCCTCATTTACCCATTCAGCACTCTATTAGTGCTCTACAAAGCTAACATAATACAAATTATCTATGTAGACCAATCAGCGTCAATCACATTCATGATGGGACACACATCAGAGGAATTAGGGGTCAAGTGTCTTGCCCAAGGTCACAACAACTGAGACAGCTCGATTGGGGGATTGAACTGGCAACCTACCAGTTCCAGGATGACTCCCCCAACAACTCTGCCACAGTTGCCCCAATATGTGCCACGCCTACCAAATGACAGCCAGAACCTCGTGTAGCATCTTCAGTGGTCAAGTTAGCAGCAGATGAATAATTAAATTATTAAAAAGGTACGCTCATAATGTCAAAAGAAAAAAATGGAGACAGCAGACAAATGAGAGGTTCATAAATATAAGCAGCAGATAAAACAAGTCAAATCAATGGTGCCAAAGACATTCAGCAGTGGAGTAATAAAAAGAACATAATAAGACCTGGTTAAAAATGTAAAATCAACCAGAACTCACATTAGTCACTGCATGAGTCAGATATTTACGCAATGAGGCTTGAGGTTAAATGAAACAAAGTACCTGACTATGACAATTTGAAATGGAAGACCAGAGGTCCTAAAACTGCCTGCAACATTTCATCAGGCTTGGACCATCCCTATAAAGGAATGATGCTCAGAGGAGTTGTACCACCTAAAGGCACAATTTATTTATGAAAATAGACTTGTTAATGTGCAACATTGCTTTTTTCAGCTAGATCTACTGAAGACCCTGCTGTCATGAAACAAATATCCCTATAATTCAAACTGACTGTTTGAGGTCTTTTTGCATGCAACCATCATTTTCTAATAGCTCTCAGCAAAAACATAAAAGAAGCCATGACATAGTCATTATTGTATACAATACCAGATTTTCCATATATGTACAATATGTTTAGAGTGTAAAATACAAAAACAAAATAATTTTAATGCTAAATATCAGATAACATCACTTGTATTGTAACTATATTAACAAACAATAGCTTTTGGATGTCCAGATCGAGATCAAGAGATTTAGAAGTTGAAGACTAAATTCAGATAGATACAGTATGTGTAAAGTCTAGACAACTCTGCAGTGAATGTGTACACTTGCAGATGAAAGGAAGCCGATCTTTCCCAAAGCCTGAGAGGCAGGAATCAGGTTGTTGGGCACAACAGCAGTGCATGTTGCTTTTCTACAGTCAGTTTGACCTAACACGAACTTATTACAATACCAGCTATTTTATAAGTAGAGCATTTCAACAACTACCATAAATGCAGAATTTTACCAGGCAAATCCCACATAGATCGCAGATCTCTTTCTATGGCATTACATTTGTGCCATCAGCTTGAGTATGCAGTAACACTGATTTGAGAGCAGATAGCAAAATGAACAAACAATTTGAACTGTGTGCATTCAAATCACACACATGCTCACGCGGCTTCCTCCCTGCTTGCTCAACTCTCTTCCTGTTGAGAGGAGGGAGGTGGCTGCTCGAGCAGAGGTAAAGTTGAGTGGAGGGAGGGCGTGGAGCACAAGCAGCTGCGCTGCGCCATGCAGAACTTTTCCTCCTCACTCTCTTAACAGATAAAAAAGGAGACAAACAGCAGACGTTGCTTTGCAGAAAAAAACTGTATTGCTTCAATTGCAGCTCAACTGAGGAGTAACAGCATCTCTACCATTATTACAAAACTGACACGGGTCCGTCCTGAGTGCACAGAAGAGCTTTGTTTATGGTTGTAACATGGAAGTAGAGATGAAAGTTTACAACACTGTGCATGCACCAGACTTTTATTCTGAATAAAAGTCCGGTGCATGTAAATACTTGTCATGATTGGGTTGTGTCCATGTAAACAGCACATTCGGATTATTTAATCAGAATACATTTCAATATGATCAAAAAGATTTGTGCATGTCAACATAGCTATTGACACAGTGGTCAAAATGACACCTTTTATTTGCAAAATGCACTAACTGTGTCAAAACATTTAAATATGGAACACAAGAAAACTTTGCCATCAAACAACTCAACTTTGACACAATGTATGAGCACCTCCAGACAATCAGTACACAATGGGCAAAGAAATACAAAATACAGCACTCATGTGCAAATCAGTGCACTGTTGCTTGTTATTGTAGCCTATGACTGTACATAGCTTACATGCCAGTGCCATTTGTAATCAAATTTGCAAAAATGCATCCAGAAGCAGATATGGTTTGATGCTAATTTTATTGATTGCATTTTATTTCAGACTGTGCCTGACAAATGAAATATTCCAACAGAGAATACATGGAAATAAAAATAAAATACTTTACTGTGTGAGAAATTATGTAAATAAAAAACAGTCTTTTCCTGTAAAGAACAAAAATATATAGTAGGCCTATACTATGAGTATAAGAGATAGCCAAAAGTGATACTCTTCTTCTAATCTCTTCTTTCTTGAAGAATGGGCCACATGGCCTCATCCACATCACATTCATAATTATTTGCCATAAACATGTTGACAACGGCTGCCTCCTGCTCAGCATGTGAAAATTCTCCCTCTACCACCACCGACTGGTAGCCTTTCGATTCTATAAAGAATACATGAAGTGTGGAAAAAAAATACATGACGTACTGTATATCACTGCAAATATTTCTGTATATACTGTATAGCAATATTACCTGTTCTGTTGAAAAAAAAAACTCTAACAATGGATGCAACAGTGTTTCTGATTAGAACAAGTTGGACTCTTTGTCCAGCCTCTCTAAATGAAAGGTCATGCTTTACGACATGATCAACCACAGTTGCCCGAATTTCAGCTGTAACCTGAGCCCTTCCAGCGATACCACCATCTCGCACATGGACTCCTCTTCCTCTGACCCCTCTACCTCTTACTCTCACTCTACCTCTCATCTGCCTTAGACCTCCTTGATCCATGCTTGCAAAGAACAACACAGGCCTGCAGACTGATTGCAAATTGAAAAGTTCTGTGAAGTGTAAAACTGGTGCTTTCGGTGTTTCATTTATCAGCTAAAAGGGAGTTTGGACTTCTTGAATGACATCTGTGTTAACTGTTTTGCAAAAGGGTGCAAAAACTGTGTCAATCCTATGAGAATGGGTTAACACACTGCAAGAGATGTCTTCTGCTCTGCTGAGATGGTGATGACAAAGACTGACAGGTTCCCCGTTCCTTCAAACAGGTCAAACCAATCAATAAAAACTGTATTGACATAAATAGATTTAAAGTTTTGGCACTCAGACCCTGCCAGAAGATATGTGTGCTGAGGTCAAAGAATGTGTTTAGTTACATCTAGAATACATTTTCTTTATGTAGCACCAGGTCATGACATGCGTCGTCCCATGACACCATACACAAAGTAAAGCAGGCCAAGGAAGCCAGCAAATTGTGTCGAAGGGATTCAACACAGACTCCGATCTTTAGTAGCACATGGCAACAGTGGAGAGGAAAAACTCCTTTTATCAGTAAGAAACCTTCAGCAGAACCAGGCTCAGGACAGACAGCCATATGCCTCGACCAGCTGGGTTTGGGGACAGGAAAGGGAAACAGAGCAAGACAGAAGGGCCAGTCCAAGTGTATGAGTCAAGAGAATGAGGGTGGAGAAGGGGAGGAGGTGGGTTGAAGCTCAGCTGGTGAGCAGGAGGATCCATGCATGGAGGGCCTTATAAATGGAGACTTGTCTGATGCTTCTAGGCTGTGTAGAAGGATCAGATGATACAGGTGAGGCTGGAGAGAGCCTTCCATATTGAATTTATGCATAAGCTTCATTTCACACCTCAGTTATAACCCAAAGCCTTGACCCACCAATGGTATTTCTCCTGATGGGGACCAACTTTTGTCCCATAAGAAACAGTGGGTCCACACAAGACTGTGTGTCAGGGAAAATGGTCAAAATTGTCCCTACCTGGTAACAAAAATATGTACACACAGCTTAAAACCATGCCATGCCATACCATACCATACCATACCATACCATACCATACCATACCATACCATACCATACCATACCATACCATACCATACCATACNATACCATACCATACCATACCATACCATACCATACCATACCATACCATACCATACCATACCATACCATACCATACCATACCATACCATACCATACCACTTTTATTTATAAAGCATATTAAACA